AGGAGCTGGTTAAAAATGAGGTTGGCATTAGAATAAGACAACCTATAGCGAAAGACCTATATGAAGCATTCTTGATCCTGAACGTATTGTGGCGCTGGAAGTTCCATTTATAAAATAGAACGAGTACCAATGTTATTTGTAAATTACGTTAAAAAACAACTTGGATCACTAAATCCGGCAGTATCCAATTTGGACAGAGGGAGGATGCATATGATTAGCATGTATTCAGCCTGACGTTTGCCAGATTTAGAATCTGCCCTGTCAATGTTAATTTGGAGTTACTATGTGATAGAAGAGTGAAGTTCTGTTTCCCATCGGTGATTTTGAACAGCAGAGCCGAGGCAAATTTTTTACTGATACAATTGGCTTCTTGATTAATTCTATCTTTGCCTTTCATGGTGATTGTTCGTATGTTTATACTCAGGATGGTGAACTCACTCGTGTCTTTAGTCTCTCTGTGCTGCGCAAATGTTCGCAAATGTTTATACCACGAGGCACGTACGAATGAAGTGGATAGCTATCGGACACAGCCATGCCATTTTTTAACGGATAGCCATAAATTTGCAATGGAAGAATATCAGAAAGTATTATCATTAATCCCTAAGCAAAGACTTCAAAACTAGTGAGGTCAATGACCACAAAAAGAACAAATTTCGTTGTGAGAACTATTATTACTATTATTTTATGTAATGCCTACTACAAAATGAGATAATAGCTTAAGAAAAAGGAAACCAAAAGAACAAGAGAAACCAAGAGTTGATGAAGAAATTTCTCAAGTTTCTTCCTTCTTCAGATTGTGGACACTTCTATAGATTTGTTCTTCCCTTGCACGTTTTGCAGCAAGAGCTTCCTCATCAAGTACTTGGATCGGTGACCATTCTGGCAATTTCAACCATTGCTGACTCTTATCACTGTCACCAACCAGAGAGTTGTAGAAGTTTCTCAACAGAGGTTTTATCTTAAGAGCAGCATAATCAACTGTTGTTCCAACAACAGCAAAGATGACTGAATATCGGGCAGCAGCAACTGGACCACCTGAAGTTGATTCAGAAACATTTAATTGCTTTTTGACGGGTTTTATAGTGATTTGACTTGAAACCCTTTCATTCCAAGAAAGATCCTTTGGATAAAAACAAAATTAAAGAGGAGTGTCAAAATCACGCATTTGACTCTGGCATCACTAGCATAGATAACATATGGTTAACTACAAAAAGTATAAGCCATGAAACACGGCAGCTGAAAGCTCTTGTTATGTGGGCAACTACCAAAACCTTAATTCACCTGTCGAGATGGGAAACTATGTGCTCAGAATAATGCAAATTGTGACTAAAGCTAATGCAATAGAAGATTCCTGATGATTTTTTTTTGTGAATAAGCTAATAGGTTCTCCTAGTCCCAATCATGAATAACTCATTAGCTGTTTAGAGCAAGACTAACAACGTTAAGGTTCATTTGGCATGAGGGAAGAGACAGATGCCAGCATGGTGGCTTAAAATATGTTCTGGGGAAACAACAAGTCCATGTACTCTTTATCCCAATGCCTTTAATAAATCAATCTAATCTACTTGATTCCTTTTTTATTTTCCGCTAAGTCCACTTAATTATTTGCTATCTCCAATAAAAACTCAAAAGCAGAAAACTCGAGAAAAAGTTACATACAACTATTCAGTAAATCTCAAACAGCTTTGGTGCCTCTTGCTAAAACGTTAAATAACCTTGACTGTCCTTGTATCCTTGTAAGATCATCAAATCATCTTTTATGTAATCTAAAAAATGTTGTAAACCTGCCCTAATGTCAAAAACTTGTGCACCGAATGTGTTCCTTACGTTTCAAAGCATGCCAATAACAAACTTTCTTACAGATGATAAACCTAAAAAGTTGCAGAGAAATGTCAGAATTTCCACGAGTCCTGCTAAATGTCAATCTATTAAGGCTGCATTTGCAACTACTTGTAGTCTCATATAACATGACTTTATTGGTTGCTTTCAGAAACAAACATAACACATAAGAGTAAAGAAGAGGTGGCACCGCATTCCATAGGAGAACCAAGGTAAAGAAGCAAGGACTTTGTACCTTGAAGGCGTCCAAGGATGGCACCACTTCCGAAGCCTCCAATCAATGAGTTGAATAAATCATCAGGCTTACCAGTTCGACTCACTCTCACAAATTCCCTTGCACCTGCCATATTTGAAGTTCAAATTAGCAAGGACTCGTAAGTCAATAAACAATGGATCTACCTATTAACCAAATTTCGCCTAACAGCATGATTTCGCGATGATCGTCTTGGAGAACCGTTTAGAATATCGCACATTTCCAAATTAACTTAATAATCTTATTTGCTTTTCGATGCTTTGGCATTTAAAGGAATACATAAGATGAAAGCTCTATTTGGTAGTTAATCGACAACATTTTACACGGAGAGCATAGTTTACCGGATATTTACAACAGCATCATTTGTGCCAAATCATGATGATCAAGGCTAATTGACAGACATTTTAAACAATAGTAAGTGAATCTAATGTTAGAGCAAAGACTGAGAATTTACCGCAGTAACAACCGGTGACGATGGCGAAGTTAGCTGCGTAAGTAGCAGACATCTTGGCGACGCCATGGACTTTCCGATGCTTAGATATTAATCCTACTCCTCCACCACCAATCCCTATCACAATCACAAGTCAACACAACTGTAAGGATCCGCTTACATGCTAACAAAATTTTGAAAATCAGCATTTTGTGCCCATCTACCTACAAATGAGGGTTAAATTCCTCCCCTCGCCCCTTTCAATAAAAACAATAACACAAAATGAGTGCTAACCTGCGACGAGAGTCGGTATAATGATCCTATTCTTCCAAATATCCAGTGAAGAAGAAGAAGAAGAAGATGATGATGATGATGATGAGGGAGAAGCAATTACTTCCGGAGTAGTTTCATCACCAGCAGATGAGGGAGCCATTTTTGGCAGAAATCGCAATTGAGCAGCACACCACTACACCCGACTGGGACAAAACTACGACGTCTTCAATGGATAGCCATTTCGGATTAAAGTATTCTATTGGGCTTGCCAAAACAATTCGGACCTATCCATCAATGGAAAGCCCGAGTGAGGGCCCAAGAGTTTCTTTAACAATTTCGAAATCAGGCTCACTTGCCCCGGGGGCTCCGCATAAATGGAGGAATAGTTCGCGGCGGAGTGAAGTGGAAGATGTGAGGTAAAGAAAATTATTTTTGGTTCTATTCTATATGTTTGGTTACAACGAAAATATTGGAGAATAAAAGGGAAGTTATTGATAGTTAGTAGCAATTATTAACAATTTTTCTATGCAACTAACCATTTCTCCTCAAAGTCCTACAACACGGGAAGCTTTTTTCAATGTTCTTGCTTACTAAATTCACATCAAAAAAAAGTAACTAACTTTTCTTCGCTTTCATACATTTCTCCTTGCAACATAAGGGCATGGTTCTCGAAAGTTTGTGATAAATTTGCTTTTATTATTGGAAGATTGGGACATCAAGGCACGATTAGCAACATGTAAAAGTAAGGGCAAGGCTTTTAAGTGGTGGAACACTCCAAGGCACCCCTCAATTTGGACAAAGTATATGTATTTAGAATTTAATTTTTATCTAACGACGAACTCATTAAAAATTATGCTAGTGACAACATAATTTTCTATAAAAATAACAACTTGGTAAAACCCTCAATTCAAATTGAAAGTGGCAAATTTGCACAAATCCCAAGAAAATAATTAATTGGGTCTGCTCAGATAGTAGATTATTTATCAATTTTTATTTACATGCATCATCAACATATATTGTAATCATTTTTTAATTTCGCACACATCATATCAAAAAAAAAGTTATAATATTTTTTTTAAAAAATATTTTGTAAACTAAAGTTATAATATTTTCTTAATAATCTACTACCCAAACTAAAGTTTAGTTATATTTTGCAAGAATTGGAATTCGGTCCGACCCCCCCCCTCCCCCCGGGGGATGCATATAGATTGGTCTAGGACTGGGGGCATTGGATTGGGTTAGCGGCCTAAACCACCTGCATTTATTTTACAACAATCAAAGCGGCTTCCCTTGCAATAAGGAAAGGCACAAATTTGAGTAGATCTGATCTGGTTGATTTATTGTGTTTGGATTGTATTTTTTGTTATTTTTCATGAAAAAATTACTGTAGCGATTTGATATATGTGAGGGAAAAAGGTGATAGGGAAATGTGATCACGAAAAATGACAATATTTTTCGACGGAAACAAGCAATCCAAACAAGGCTATATTCCAAATTTTGTCACATTTTTAATATTTAAATTGATGAAATAGTGTGAGAAATTTTGAGTCACTGGCTCTATATATAGAGCTTGGGTCTACTACAAAGTGTTTGCCGTACCATAAGGAAAAACCTGACGTTGAAAAGTTGTGGTGTGTCTTTTTAAAAGAAATTTCTGCAGCTGGACACTTGGACCCATATGATTTAAATTACGTGAAGTCGGATGAAAAAATCTATTCGGTCATATGTAGTTGAAAGCGCAATCGCATTAATTTATTTATACGTACGCCTTTTTAGACCAGACTTTTAAGAGCCAATGAAAGTTGAACAACAGAATTCAACGTCTGAGTACGTACGATGTCGATGTGAACATTCTTGCATGTGTTCATGACGGACTTACTGCACATCCGTTATCTCTTCGTTGCAAAAGAAGGCCCCGCCTTTCTTCAACAGTTTTCGCATTAGTTATATGTTCAGCCAATGCAACAAAGCTGCTGATTTTCACTTAAAAGAGGATGTTGCCATTTTATTTTTGGAACCTTGTTTGGATTGCATTTTCTTGAATTTTTTTAGTAGAAAAATTACTGTAGCGATTCGATACATGTGAGAAAAAAAAAGTAATAGAAAAATGTGATCACGAAAAATAACGCAATTTTTCGACCACAAATAAGGTCTTACCCTCTAGAACTCGTTCAGATTGGAGAGGATGATAAGAGTGAGAAGAAATGGAGTGCTATATTTGTAGGCAAGGCTCCATCTTCAATTACATACAATTACATTTATTGTCACCCTTGTATTTAGTCTTACTCCCCATAAAAAAAAAAAAAAAAAAAGTCTTACTCCCCATTTACTCAAACACTTTGTGACCCACGTAATCATGATTGAGCATTCTTTGAAAATCATAGGGATACACTCTCTGTTAATCAAGCGGACCATGCATCTGCCCTAATAGGGGCTCTTACGTTTAATTTGAAAAAAAAAAAAATGGAACAAGATATAAGAGGCAGAGAATGCTTTAAAAATTTGCCCAAAAAATAAAAATTGTTCTTTTCAGCCTGCTCGACTGCAGGGAATGGGGATTTCAGGAACCCGATGTGTCTGGTTCTGCAGTGTCTTCTGAACCTGAGAGACCATTGCCTCCTTCCTCACTCTCCAAGGCCCTTTTCAGCATCATAGACTCCGATTTTCTTCGTGAACCTGCTCCATTTCTTCTGTGGTGTTCTGCAAATTCCGATAAATTCATGAACAACAAACACAGGAAAAGGAACAAACTGGCCGATGATGACAAAACAGGCTTGGTAGTTCATAATACGCGGAGTTACTTTTGTGATTAATTGCGGAACGAGTAATTGCTAAGAATTCATCCCACTTGAAATTCCTAAGCTCTTGCTTCTCCTCCTCCGAGAGTTCGAAGTTAGGTTCCCTGCCGCACATAAAAGCTGCTCTGCAAAATTAGCAAACAACAACAGAAGTTCATGTTCAAGCTCCTTGCCCCTCTAATAGCTAAAACCTTAATGGGTAGCACTTGATGACATTCAAGGCTAATAAGATTCAATCGAATGAAATCATTAAGAAAGTGGGTCAATATAGACTAATCCTGCATGACCCACGATGAGAAGAGCTTCCCTCCATTTTCCTTCTCGCAATGCTTAGAAATATCTATTGTACCTGTCATATAGTCGAGCAGCTTCTTCTTGAGAACCAACCGTTCCTAAGTGGATTTGCTTCTTGTCTACCTTAATGGCTGCCTGCCATTTCATATTCTTGAAGTAGACACCTCTCATTACACATTGTTCTTGGTTCTCAAAATGCTTTCTCCTATGTCGCTTTCTGCGTTTAACTTCTGCAGTAATGAATAAGTTGGTCGGTTTAATGGGTAAAGGTAGGAGAAATGGGAGCAGTAAAATTCTTCATTGAGAAATTCCATAAAAAGGGGTAAACATCTATGTTACTGAAAGCAAAGAAAAGTAAATAAAAATCAGGATTTGCTGAAATAAATTGCACACCAAACTAATATAAGGTGATTCTCTTGAAGTCCTGGAAAAGTCAGATATTAAGCAAAACTCACTCTGATATTTGTCAGTGTCTCACAGACAAAGCAAATTCTCCTAGCTGATTATGAATCTATCATAGACATATGTGTCTCACAGACACAGCAATTTCCTACATTTTACTTGTTGATCTGACACTCAAGTTCTGCAGTAAGCTAAACTTTATCAGTGAGAAATGTTTCTACTAGACTTCTTAGATGTTCAGAGTGAGAAAAGATAAACATAAAAGTAACTATATCAGTTTAAAAACTTAAAGGAGTTTTTTTCTGTGATCTTAGATGCAGAAAAACATACCAAAGAACAGGAAATAATCACATCACGTTCATGCATCTACTAGATTTGTTGACCAAACTTTCCTTGCCATCATAATTGGAAAAGAACCTCAAAATCCAGTGGTGCCACTTTAGAGCATTTTTACAAATTTTAACGGCATTCACCTATTTCCTCACCAGTATACAGTCAAACTAACTTCTTTTTTGTAGTTCATGAAATCACTTAATGCTCCACTGCATCTCCCAATTCATGGAAAAGGCTACATCTCCCAGGATTTCCTTCCAGAAGAACTATATACACAAAGTAAACAGTTTTCACCGTGGCCAAAAGGGAATAAACGTTTAAGCCAATTCTCTGCTGGTACCTAACCCAACTAATCCACAAGGTCCTCCACCCAGACGAAAGTCATAAAGTCCATAAAACCTTAGTTTCTCAATGATATGGGTGATATCAGCAATTGTTAAAAGCACAGCATAGGCTGGAATCTTAATTTATTCTACTTCACAATTTTATAGGCTCTGAATACTTATTAGACATCCTGGATGCTTCTTTCACAAAAACCAGAGCAAAATTTCATACTAGCTTTCTGTCTTTGTCCTACATTATGCAGATAACACATATTAGATCTCCAAGTTCCACTTTTTTTCCTTTTTCATTGCATAACTACAATGCCACCACAAATTTTAGAATAGGTAATGAGCATCTTTGTACGGAACAACAAGATCTCATATTTTCTTTCAACCAGGTCGATCAGATCTGCAAGAAATTATTAGAATGGAGAAACCTTACCTGGGAATTGTCGAGTATGTTGTTCCTTTAATTCTGTACAAGCAGGCACATTTGATGACCCAGAGGCCTTCAGTGGGGAGAGTTTCTAGAATATGCAGCAAAAAGTCATTCACAGTATATCATTGCAGTTTGTATCAAGACCTAAAGTTACAGTTCTATCCAGAACGTTCTTCTGATTAGCAAGATAAAGTCCAATCCCTCTCCAATTCAGTCATCTATGTAACCTATTCTCAGTCCAGGGAAAAGGACATCCATGATTTGGCAAACAACAGATATTTCAGAGAGCATGGATATTAAATATACAACAGTTTCCTGAACAAACACTATACATAAGTGTACAACAATTTGATACTTACAAAGAAACAAGAAGTGAAAAAAATCACCATGACCAATATCAGGCAAAAGAAAAAAATAACAGAGTTCCAAATAAAAGTTAACCAACCTGCTACTTGACATAAACATGATAACAAAAGTATAAGCATATAAGACTCCCATGGCTATACAAATTCTGCATGAACAGATGGGAATTTCCAAAGTCTATAACTAACCCATTCAATAGGCCAAGAAAAACTTCTTCTCCTTCATATAAATGTAGGTCCAATAAAAACTTTGTCGCATTTATGAAGGGAACAAAGATATAGACCCAAAAGCATCAGGGATACCATGCTCTATCACTGCAGGAGATGGGCTTAACCAAAATTAAGACCAAGGAGACCAATCTTAACTGACTTATTCTCACATGAATTCAAAAGCAACATCTACAAGGAATGAAATGAACATTAAACCATTTATACATACACGTGTGAATGAAACTAATAGAAAAAAGCAATTCATCTATTTTCCCAGAACAACGCTCTAAACAAATTGTTTATTCTTCCTCCGGCAATAAATCTTATAACTAAAGAAAAGCTAGAAACTGAAATCTTGTCTTCAATGCTTTCTGCTGTTAAGAGTTAAGAACTAACAGAAAATCAAGCATTCAGCATTAAGCTGAAAATTTTCATTTCAACTTCAAGGATAACATCAAACCATCTGATGCAAGTTCAACTAGCTAAAAACTTATGCCTACATGGAGATTGACACGAGCCGTGACAAAGTAAAGCACAAGAAAAGAACCAGAGTTTGATTAAATGAATACCTCCTTTGTTTCATCAACATCGATTGATGGTATAGGATGAACACTGAATGGTTTAGTGTTCTGCATGCGGATTTCAGGAGTGTACCCATTCTCAGAGAACTTGGGCAGCGGGGCCAAGAAGGGATTGCTGCGCCCTACGAAGTGGCATTTAATTTTAAGATACTTTTCAATGAATTATTATGAGAAGATTACTAACAAACTAGAAAATGTGTTTCATTTTTTATGGCAAAAACGGAAGAGAGCACCACATATGTGAGATAGAGTCAAAAAACTAATCCCAGGAAGCTTTATTGAAACATTGCATCAACTAAAGAAAACATATTTGGACTTGGCATACCAGAACCTAAGAGTTTGCGTCTTCGAATGCTCACCATGGCTATCTTCAATATTCCTGATCAGAAAACACAATGGTCATGAAATTTGCAAAAGATACAAATTGATAAACTAGCAAATAAAAACAGAAGTGAAATACAGAAAAGAAGACAAAGTAAACAGAAAGATAGACAGTGTAACAGATGCAGCAGGATATTAATAGAGAATGCCACTAGAAGAAAGTGCATCAACAAAAGAAGGAAACCACTGGTTCAGTGCTAGGACTATGCTCGTGCAGAATATGCTAACTAGATTTTTTTTTTTAAAAAAAAAGTAAAAAAGAATAGAGTTTGAACTGAAATCAAGCCATCAGAAAGAGGAAATTAGTCAGGTATGAGGCGTATTTGAGGAGAACAAAGAAGATGTCAAAGGCATGCAAGTGAAGCTAACATTTTGAAGCTATGATGAACTGCCAAAACCCAGAAGACTGAAAGCTTGTGGATTGTTTCGAAAATCAAAATATCCCTTTTGCTTTTTCAAAATCAGAAAAAAGAGTTGTTAAGCTTGCAGCTTGAACTGCGGAAGTCCTGAAAAGGAACATCAGGGGATGGGCTAAACATGATAGCATTCTCAAGACTCACATAAGGAAGTTACAATGACAGAAGCGGAACACTAAGTCCGACTCAGAAGAATCCCAAAAAGCCGCTGTCCACTAAGATGTTCTGAACCAGAACCGTCAAACAGCCGTAGCCATAATTCACCATAGATTAACGACACCCAGGAGCTCAATTCTCCCCCATATTCAGTTAATATATTACAATGGGAAAGTTGGGTATACTAACCATCCAGAGATAGCAGTCATTATGTTTCACATTACAAACCCAATTTGTGCCACTTAGTATGATCTAGGAAAGCCACAAAGAGACCAACAAATTCTAACAACCAAGAATGTACTGTTTTACATGCCATAATTCATCAGCTAGACAATTTCCTGTAGCGACGGTTCTGTTAAACTAGCTGTTACTAGAATAAGCTGCCAAGTCCCATGATAATAGGATTAGACTAAAAGCAGTCCAGCGGGTTGAAAGGGATAAAAGAGGCAGCAACAGATTACCTATGTATTAGAACTGCAAGTCAAACGGGGAAAGGGAAGAGAGAGCTCATGCAGCGATTCCCAATTCTATGTATTAGCTAATTTTGTCCAAGCTTCTTAAAAAAAAAAGAAAAAGGAAGGAGAAGAAGAAACTAGTTGAGGTAAAAGATCGAAGGACGAGCCAAGGTGGCAAAGCGCAACTTCAACGCCTACTTCACCATATTAGGTGACAGCTAAACTTATAATCCCTCATAAACTAACTGGACCATAAAAATCATGATGCCGAGTTGAACCAGTAATTGGAAGAACTGAACATCATCTCCCAAACCATTGGTTTTCCAGAATTGACTGCCTCTATAGTTTGAGACGAAGTCAACCCACCGACCTACCACCTTTTATGAAGCAGTATGTGAAAAAGAGAAACAACCCCCAAGTCCCAACAACAAAATAAAAAAGGGAAACAAAAGAACAGTTGTCAAAATGCCAACCAATTTTAAAGAAACCCACATGTCATAGAATTTCTTTCAATCCGAAAAACAAGTCCCCCGCAAGACCAATGCACGCAACAAAACAAAACCAAGAAAAAGATGCAAGGAAGGCATAGGCAAAGATGCAACGGAAAAGCCATTGCGAGTTAAGCACACATATTGTAATACAGGGCTTGGGGGTGGCACCTGAGAAGTGATGAGTAAAAAGAAGTGGCGAGAAGCGTGGAAACCGAGGATTGTCAACTTTGTGTTTGTTTTCCAAGGGAGAAATCTAAAGGATTACGGTTTACAAGGGAAAGGGTGGTGAAGATAAAGAGAGCATAGAAGAGATAGAGGGGGAGGAGGGGCTGGGATGGGATGGGATGGGATGGGCTTGGGGGGTGATAGTAGTAGTTGATGTTGTTAGTCATGCATCTACCACCTTTTGTTTTATTTCTAGTCTCATAATGTTTTGAGGGAGAGGGGAGGGTGGTGGTGGTGTGAGGTTGCTGCTATTGGTGTGGTAATGGCCTAATGGGGTCGCCAATTCTCCCTGTTACAATTTACAACAAGAGATAGAAAGAAAGTGACTAATAGGAGAAAGAAAGAAACATACATAGACAGAGAGAGAGGGAGAGAGAGAGATAGAGGTGGTTGGTTGAATACGAGAAGGGGAACGTATGTATGCTTCTACTACTCTTTTTATATATAGTGAAATTTTTCGTAAATCTGTGAAAGGACGGTAATACCCATACCACTATTTTCCTAATACTACCAGTAAAGGTATCTTTAGATGATCCGAATTTACTTCATTACCCTTTATGATTGACTGCTCTGTATGCTACCTGTAAGCATCTAAGAGAGGTTGACCTTTTGGCTTCGTTTGATCGTTTCTCCCACCGGGATAAGTTTTTCAACTCCAGGATGGGCTTTTCTTGTGCCCTCCCAGGCCTCAACTCATAGGATCAACCTTCTGTAAAACAGGGTGGATTCAATCTGCAATTCTTGAAGTTACAAGGCAGGCATCCATGATGTTTTGTATACGTTTGTTTCCCAAAAACTCGACAGATATATAGTACACTTTTTATCCAATGCCCCCCACACAAGATACACAAGTTTTTTTTGTGCAAGTTTAACATCCAAAGTAACACCTTGGTCTCGTTTATGAGATGCCATACGGTCTAAAGATTATACTAGATTTTATTGATCTATTTTTTCTTTTGGTAGAAAAAATTATGGCTCTTTATATCGGATGTGCCGAGGCAATGGTTTTCCGGTAAAGTTTCTTTTTCTAATAGCCAAAGCCCAAAGGTAATGGGCTTCATCTCTTGATTTACATGCAAGGATTTCAGGTAATAAGCTGTGCTATCTACAGTAATATTTATCCAAATTACGATTACATACACTATGTCTAAGATGTTCGTAATTTGTAGACATGAATACGTAGTTGACGACATGTTCTATGATTGCCCATTGAGAAGTTCTATAATTGCCTATAGATTGCGACAGCAAATCAATTTGCCATTTCTTACCTACTTCCTTGGCAGCACTTTAATGAGCGTCTAGCACATGCTGATTCTGTTCGCCAAATTAAGGGTGGTATGGATTAATTATTTTTAGGAGTATTTTTTAAAAACTAATAATGTAGTATTATATTTTAAAAACTTTTTACATAAATGTATTTTAATATGTTTTTATAATTTCAAATTTTATTGAGATATTCTTGAAATTTTATTAATTTTTTACCACCGTCCACCAACCACCATCCTCCCCTCCTTCATCCTCCACTACCTTTTCCCACTCCGACCTCCTCTCTCTCCTCTCTCAGTCTCTCTCCTTTCCTTTCCCTTCTTTCTTCCTCCTTTCTCTTCCTCCCTCCTTTCTTTCCTTTCCTTACCCTTGCACTACAACTCCCTTTCCTTCTCTTCTTTTCTAATTGTGACCTTGAGGGGGGCTATCAAGGAAGAAGGAGGGATTGAAGGGAGGAAGACGTGAGAAGAAAGAAAGAAGAAGAAGAAAGGATAGTGGCGTGCATGATAGTGGTGGTGGCGATAGGTGCTGATGGAGGAAAGAAAAAAGAGGTGTAGAATTTCTTATAGTGTATTTGTTGGATGATGTGTTTGAGATCCTGTTTAAGGTATTTTTTAAATGTATTGTAACATTGAATTTAAAAAATATGCCACGAATCTAAAGAGAGCCAAATTTTTGAGGAAAACAAATTGATGATGATGTATTTAGATTAAAGCATCACATGGTAAACTCAACAACTATTTAAGTATTTCAAACCAATCGCTACAAAAATGTTATTTCCTTTTTTAAATGATTTGTTTTGATTTAAAGGAACAAAAAAGGTTCTAGAAGTGTGGCTAATATATATTTCACTGCTAAGCAAAATCTAAATTCCAGTAATGACAAAATGTGACTGGAATTTGCATATAATTAATAGCATATGAAACTTGGTCGAAAGTGAAAATAAATATAATAAACTTGCCCGAAAGTAAATACAAGAGAGTGTTGGATTGAATAGCAAGGGGAAAGAGATTGTAAGTAGAAAATTTTGAATTCAAAACCTTCCACACACAAAAAAAAAAAAAAAAATATTGTTCAACAGTAGTAACGATAATAGACTATATCATGTGTAATTATTCTCTTCATAGTGCTTACATTCCATCAAGCGAGAAGTCGGTAAAATTGGATCCATCCTTTTTCTCTTCTTTTGGTTATATTTTTTACAAGAAGACTTCATCCAAATAACACTTTTCAAATTGAAATGAATCCCAAAATGGACATTTTATTGGTCAGTTTTTTGGGGCGCTATTACGGACAAGCCAGGGATGAAGCGGGGATGGAATATTTTACCAACGATAGAGGAGCGCTAGGCCACGCCAGTCAAGCCATTATGTGCAGGAAAAAGGCAGTGATGAAACTTGCGTAGTCATGGGCTTCCTTAAGGAATACAAAAGCCCTGACAAATAGAATTTTCCTCATCATTCACAAGCTTTCAACGTTCACTTGTTTTGTTTTTGTATTTATTCTCCTTTCCATTGCATTCCCAGCTGTCTAATGAAAAGGAAATTTATAGGTGCAGCAATAGAGATGCTACAAGGCAAACAATAAGATATTGCTTTGGATGAGAGTGGCTTTACTTACATGAAGCCTTCAATAATATGGTTGGAATGTTTTGTCAAAATACGTGAAATGAAGGCTGTAATAATTTGTAGTCTTTTTTTTTTTTTTTGGGGGCGAACAGGATAATAACTTGTAGTCCACTAGTTTCATTGAACGGAACGCCCCCTGATGCAAGCCTGCAAATGGAAGGATAATTTTGTCATTCTAACATCTTCAGGCGGTATTTGAGGATTCCTTGTACGGGTGAGACAGTATAAAACAACGGCTGACATAGCAGGGACAATTACGGAATTCGAAAATTGGTGTGGGCTACCAGTAAAGGGTAAACCCAATTATTAATAGGCTTTGGTTGGTTGGCCGCAAAATCGACCAAAGGTCCAAAGCACAAAAGAGCAAAAAAAAAAAAGGAAAAAATGGAGAACCAAGAAGTGAAGAACAAGAGAGAAAAGCACCGACGAAGGCATGATTGGATAGACGGCCTGCCATATAAGCTTTGTATTCTGCATTAGATAACGCTCGGCCAACCCCAATCCATCCTCTGCCCCTCTTCTTTTATTACTGTTTTGTTCTATGCGAACCTTAAAAATTGCTAAAAGCCCGTTTCGATTGCAAGTTTTTGCAAAATATATGCAAAATATATGCGTATATGCATTAATAATGTATACACTATCATCGTTAGATTCATAATATATGTATAAAATTTAAATTTTAAAATCAAATTTTACATATTTATTATTCATTCAATGCTGAAAATGTATACACTGTCAGTGTAGAAAAAATTAATTCAAAAAAAAAAAAATATATATATATATATATTATAATGATATGATGTGTATGAAATGAATAAATGATTAGAAAATACGTGCGAGAATTTTTCTATAAAAACTCGCAACCCAAACAAGGCCTAAGCATTTAGAAAGATTATCAAAAAAAAAAAAAAAGCATTTAGAAAGAAAAAAAAAAATCCATTGGCTTTAATACTAGTGATCCTAAAGTAATTTTTCAGGAGATAATATAGAGGAATTTGCTATTTGTTGTAATTATTTGGATTTGCTCCTTGTCTAAATAATAAACAACAAAGGACTTTTTTGGTATCGGACGTAGAGTGTGCACATTTCTTTTATTTAATGCATACGGTTGGTTTTCTTTTCTATTCTATGTCTGCTGGCCTGCTGCTATTATTTGTCCAATTTATTACTATATTAGTTGCTTCATAACTTGTATTTCTTTTCTCTAACTTTTTCTCATATATATATATATATATACACGAGCAGGTGCAATAAAGTGATTCGTTTGTTGGTGGAAAAGATCTTGGTGGGAAGTTAAAATTAAGATCTTAAAATTTAGAAGTAGTAAATTCAAATTTTATTCTCGCTTTTTTAAATCCCACCATTGTTTAGGAAAAAAAAAATTGTGGATGCAATGAAGTACTTATGCATAATAAATAATCAACAACAATATTAAAAGCATTTTTAACATCTCATTTAGCCTTGGACCGGTTCCTAGGTGAGAAAAGTCAACCGTAAGAATCTAATAAAAAAAAATCGTAACTTGGACATAAGTTGTCGATATCTGACCAGTTGAAGGCCCCAACAAAACCACATAGTAATTTTTATGGATTTAACCAAAACTACTATTCCAATAAACCGATTCATGTGAAAGCTAATTAGGTGCAACAGCAATGACCTGTCTCTAATCCATTTAACGGAAAAGACACTACTAGTGCTCCCATCATGAT